CCCAGGAGGACACGGTGGGGTACAGCCAGCACTCGCCTGGGGACCCAGGTCAGACACAGCGCCAACCTCCACCTCCGTGGTGGCATCAGCGGGGAGCAGGGGGACACGACTTCAGGCTCCCCTCTGTCCCTCGGCTGTCCCGTTCCCTGGCGCTCCCCGGTGCTGGCCCTGTCTCTGTGTCTCTCGTTGTCGTCCGTGGAGCTCGTGTGACACCCGGTGGGTGAACAGCAGACTGCATCGCGGCAGCAGGGTCCCTGCGCACGGTGGCGCTGGCCCGGGGGTGTCCCCCATGTAGGGGACACGGTCCTCCTGAGTGAAATGGGGTGGCACTGCCCGATGGGCTCGTGGGTGGGTTTGAACTTGGGTGGCTTGGACGGGGTCGTGGCTGGGGGGTCCCTGCAGGGCTGGGGGGTCTCACCGGGGCTCGGGGTCTCTCCAGGCACCCGGGAGTCCCTGCAGCCCCCGGGCTCTGGGGTGTCACAGACACAAGGGGCTCCTCCAGCCCTGGGACTATGGGCTCTTTAGAGGCACCCGGGGGTCCCTACAGCCACAAGGCTCTGCATTGTCTCCAGGCACCTGGGAGTCTCTGCAGGCCCAGGGCACTGGGGTCTCTCCAGGCACCCACAGATCCTTGTAACCCCGGGACTCTGGTGTCCCTCAGGCACCCAGGGGTCCCTGCAGCTCTGGGGCTCACCAGGGCTCTGGGGTCTCATCACTGCCCCACCACTACCACCCCCACCATGTGAGTCCCTGCAGCTCCAGGGCTCTGGGGTCTCACTGGGGCTCTGGGGTCTCCTCAGGATCCTGGGGGTCCCTGTAACTTTGAGGTTTTGGGGTCCCACTGTGGCCCCAGGGCTCACTGCAGCCCCATGGCTCTGGTGTCACTGGGGAAGTCTCTCAGGGGCCCCAGGGGTCTCTGCAGCCCCGAGGCTTTGGGGTCTCACTGGAGCCCCTGTGGGCCCCTGCAGCCCTGGGACTCCAAGGCAGTTCCTGAAGTCCTGGGACTCTGGGACCACACTTGGCACCCAGAGGTCCCTGCAGACCTGGGGTTCTGGAGTATCCCCAGTGGTC